GGGGGGGAAGGGGGTGATAAGGTCTGGAACTGAGAAACGATGATCACACAACTCCCAAAGCAGTCAATTCACGGGCTTGTAAGCAGGCTCACTGAGCCACACGGGCTGCTCAAACATGCGAAATGTGGTCTTGCCACTCCTACTGTCTTTTTTTTTACAATGGTTTGAAAATTTCATCAAAGTAAAACTGTATAAAATCATTATGGATACGCTCCTTTCCTTTTTCTATATGTTTATTTTGCTTTGGCAAAGCACATTCAAGGATACGAGGAACTTTCAAAAACTAGTGCAAGCTCAGGTGGGAAATATCTTCTTCAGGAAGTGTGAGTTACGTGTCAAAGTCCGGAACATCAACGATCAAATTCTAACATGAATAGCGGAGATGGATGTGCAAGTACAGATATGACTATAGCACCTCACCTTGTACACATTTTCAGTCCGTTTCTTAATCCTTACTCCATTGATTTTTAATGTTGCCATTGCTCGTTTCAATCTTTCTACTCTCTGCTTTTCTTTAGCCAACATACATTTCATCTCCTTCACTGAGTCAGTTTCAGCTTTCAAAAACGCTTGTGACGCTTCTTCCAATCTTTCGTGGTGTTTTCTACTGTTCTCTTCCAGAACTCTGTTCAGCTCTACCATCACCATTTTTAGTTCCTTGTTTAAAATAATGAAATATTACTCGTCTATTGGACTTCTAAACAACTTTCAAATGTTCCCCCACTTCTTCTCTTACCCATAAACAGGTCATAAACAGGTCATAAACAGAAATACCTTAAGTATTAAGATTAACTTTTAAGCATAAGCATTAGTGCTGTAAAAAAAGAATACTGGTAATAATAAAAAAAAGTGGTGCAACACACGGAACAAAGATACTCAACAAAATGGCTACGGAATAAAGGCAAGGAGTCTCCAGAGACTTAATATGTTATATTTCCGGCTTTTATTATTATTATTATTTTTTATTTTTTCATATATTTTTATTATATTTCCTTTTTTTTTTTACAGCACATGCTTACACTTTAAATTAAATCCCCTTAATATATATTAGGTAATCCGGTTAATGACCTTTAGACCCCAAAGTCACATGCAGTACACTTGGGCCACCTGTGCTTTCATTATTTACCAAATCACTTTTTCAACCATTTTTACCTCACGACACTCTAAAGTTTCTTTCTTAAGCTTTTCCATCTCACTTATAGCATTTTGGTATTGCTGATTCTTTTCTTCAATGTGCTGCAAACAGGTAAGGATAAAGTTTAAACACTTTCATTGAAAAATACAGGAATATGAATCCACTAGATTATGAGTAAATTAATAAATTATATCAATCTTGATATTTAACAGTAAAGGAAAACTTTTTCAGAGTTACAGTTGTACAGTCAGGTACCATGTACTGCCAGTATAACAGAACTTTAAGGTTAAGATAAATCATTCATATTCAAGAGAGAAAATATATTTGGTTGGAAAATCGATTAAGATGTTTGTGTATGTTGAGTAAGGGTAGTGATGTTCGTTACCATTAAGTGGAGATATTTTGGAACTTAGGTTGGCTATTGAAAACTGGCATGCTTAGCAACAGCTACAAAAACAAAATACAGTTATTACATTATGCAGTTATTAAATGAATAAGTCAGCCATCCATGCATGCATAGTAAAAAATTGTTATTGTCATGTTAAGTGATTTTTGGAAGCTAAGTTCCACGTGAATCCTAGAGGAAGGTTGATGCTTTGTTGTAGCTGTTTCATAAGATCATAGCAGCAAAATATAATATTAAAAATTGAAGAAATTTAGTAAAAAAGAAAAAATTCAAGGACACTACCTCTTTTAATCTCTGACATTCATCCTCCTTCCAGTGGTACATCTAAAACATTTAAAATTAGGAAAATTACTGCAAGATTAATCAAACTGACTTACAGAGTATACATGTACATCAAAAAATTATTTTTCTTCTGTCAGGCTAATGCGTGGCTCATGCCTGGCTCAGTTTCCTATTCTGAAAGATTTTCCTTGCCATTGGCTCCTATCAGGCTAATAATGCCAGGCTCATTTCTCATTGTGTACAACTTATCTTGCCAGGCTCTTAAAAGGATGATTGCCAATAATTTCCTGCCATGTCAAGTTCTTGTTAGGCTCTGTAGCTCTCTGTCCTGTTCAGTTCTTTTCCAGTTGATGTTTGGCTGATGTCTGGTTCAAATACCAGGCTTTGTTCAGGCCTTTTTGGCACATAATGAGAGGAAATTACCTCATCACACTAGTCAAACATTTGGACAGCTCTGTCCATATAGCGCTATTTCTTGAATAGCAATATTCCATAGAAACTGTAGGAATGAATATCTCAATACAAAGTACTCAAATATGTGTAATTAAAAATGAAACAAACCTGTTGTTGTTTTCTGATCAGTTCAGCCTTCTCTGATTCTCTGGCAGCACTTTCTTCTAAAAGTTGCCTCAACTGTGAAAAAAAGGCCACAAATCTATGACCAAGATAACTGTAACAAAACACACCATAACCCAATACTTACCCTTAACAACTAGCCCCTGCATGGGATACATTTGATGAAAAAGTATCCTTTACCAAAACTAGGTTATTTGTCACATAACTGCATAGAACCCAAATTTGGCCGAGCATGTGTGGAACCTGCAAGGACCTTGAATGAAAACCCTCGAACCTGATTCTCCTTCATGCAAAGTCATATGATCTATAAACAGCCAATCACAAATATAAGAGAAAGGGAAACCATAAAATGATTGATTTAGCTACAGTCATCATCTGCAGGGTTCAACTGATGTGAAATCTCAAAACACCAGAAATGCCATATTTGATTCTAAGTACCTCATCATTTGTTGTCTGTGCATCTTGAAGGCGACTAAGGACTTCATCTCTAAATTGCTGTTAGGAAATCAACGTAACTAGTAAGTAATTTTAGTCCTACAGTTAAATGAAAGTTTGCTAGCCTCCTGGTTAGCTCAATGGATAGAGTGCTGGACTGTTGTGCGGGAGGACGAGGGTTCTAGCCCCGGCCTGACCAACACTCAGGGTCTTAAAATAATTAAGAAGAATTTTCTACCTTTCTATAACATCAAGAACTGGTTAGATATTCTAGTCTTCTTGGATAGGGACAAATAAATGGAGATCCCATCTCCTACAGGATTGGGGTAGGAGACATTAATTTCCCACACACGAGATTACTGTGTGATGGATGTCCTCCCCTGGGGTGGGATGGGTGGGATATTGGATGCACTTAATTTGGAGCCTTGCTCTGTTGTGCAACCCTCACCACACTCTGGTGAAAGTGATTAAATAAAAACCATGACTTGATTGAACGAAATATATCATAATGTAATATGTAAAGTACAGTGTAACTTGATCTTTATTTTACTCCAAAATCTTCAATTTATAGCTATTTTTCAAGTTATTTCTATAACTGTCTCTACTGTGACCACTAAGAATCTAGTAAAAATAGCTATGGAAGAATTCATTTTACATAATGTAAACATAGAAGGCATCAAAGAAAACTCTGTCGAATGAAAACCATCTACCAGTAATATGGATCAATGTAAATTGCTACAAGTATATACATGAACATGAGACAAGTAATAGGCTAAAAAAGACAACCTGCAAATTTTGCTGAACTTGTTCATACTGAAGGGAAACCCTTTCAAGTGCTTCTGTCTTTTGTCTTAGCTCCTAAAACCAGAAAGGAATGTAAATTAGTTGATATCAATATCTGAGTGTGTCAGATCCCAACTTCAATCCAAGTTACCTTTTTGGAAGCCTCACATTAATTTTTTCTACTTAAGTTTGTAATTTAAGTTTAAATTGTATAATGTTTTTAAGTTTAAATACAATTCTCATCCTGCACTTGTTTCACAACAGAGTGAAATTGCAATTTAGATGCAAAATAATTTCAGAGCATTAATTGTTAACATGTACATACCTTCGTAAGGAATGTGGCATTTTGAAGTAAGGTGTTGTTTTCCTGAAAAAAGTGTTTAAGGATAAAATAGTATATCAGTTGATTATTATTAAGCATTTTACATTTGTAATGAAGTCATTCAAGTCCTTGACTAAGAAAAAAAGACCATTATAAACTAGTTAAAACGATCTTCAACCTCAAATCAAATTAAACTAAACCATACATTTGTCATATATTTAAGATGCAAATACATACATTTAAGATGCAAATGCATATTTATAACAAGCAAATGCATACACAAAAGATGCAAATACATATATTTAACATGCAAAACATATATTTAACATGCAAATAATGTAATTATATTTAACATATAAACACATATTTAACATGCAAATGCATATTAATAATAACACGCAAATGATTCTGAACTTGAAAATGAGACATGATTGAATCACCTTGCATAAGTCATTGCTCCTTTCCTCAATATCATTTCTTGTTTTTACTTCCTGAGCCAGTTTTCCTTTTACTTCTTTACACTTTCTCTTCCAGAGATTTAACTGTTGTTTTAACTTTGTTACTCTCTTGCTTTCCTCAAGCATCCTCTTTTCAAATTCTTTACCACGCTTCTCCAGAAACTTGGTCAACATGATTGATAAGACAACAATATCTAGTCATACTCAATAAAACTACTTTTTCAACCCCAATATGTAAAATGATTTCCAGACACTATAAATAACTGTGCATATGATTCCACTACTTTGTCATTTTACCATATTTACGGCATCAGAACGCATAAAACATGCCATGGTATTACACTTATAATAGAACAAGGCAAAAATACAGACTGTGTGCCTTTTTGGCTATTAACCCTCCCCTATTGAATGCCAGCTCAGTAAATAATAGTTAGTTAAACCGTGGAATAAGGTGTGTATATTCTATGACCTTGGAGAGGACTGACTAAAACAACAATGGAGATTTCTATTTATCAAAAACAATGTTCATTACTTTGAAGTGATCATACTTCATCCCTCTCCCATTAATTTATCTGTTAATAAATATTCTTGCAATAAGTAGTTCTATTGTGAAAGTAGTGAACAAGACAACTTGTCTCTTCCTTTTACCAGATTATATATACTCTGTTTTCAGCCATTAATTTAAGGAGGTTATACAAAGAGCCCAGCAATTCAAACCTGCAACAGGTTCTCTTTTGGAAATAGAAGCTACACTTTAATATCAAATGGTAATAATAACAATAACAATAATAATAATAATAATAATAATAACAATAATATTTTCTCTTCTTAATGCAGAGCAAAACATTCAAGTCTCAGACATCAGATATGCAAAAATCTGACACCCTTACTAGGCGGCAATCATCACAATATATTTTGTTATTAGTATTTTTTTAAGAGACACAAGTCTGACACATGTTCTAAACTAAATACCTCAATCTTTCTTTCCAGAGCCTGCACCTCACTAGCTTTCTTCTCTAGGTCCTATGGAGGGATCCAGAATCAGAGACGTAGTAAGAAAGTAACAATTATTTAGTAAGAACATGTACAAGTCATTTAAGGTGGCTGGTACCAGTTTTCATCTTTTTGATGGTTTGTAACTATGAAAGAATACAACAGAAAGACTGACCAAGGCCAGTTGAAGACTTTTACGGGATTGAATTGTATAATCATTGGTTATCCAAAAATAGGTGTCATTTCGTCACTAACAGTTTCCATGGAAACACTTTGATAGGCTTATTCAGACGTATTTTTTAGCTTGTGGCTTAAATAATTTGAAAACTAACCTGGTGACCCCGTCATTTTTAAAAATCCTACACACGACTTCTGGCTATATCATATTATTTTCATTTAAGTTTCAAAGTCTTCTTATTATCCTCCATTTGAGTTCTTTTTTTTTCGCTGTCACAAGATTTCATATCAGTTGAATATTTCTTTTAGACGTGAAGTAAAGCAACCTTTACTACTCTGAAAATCATCTTTTTTATCTTAGTTTCTATCTCCTGCATTCACAGTGGCCGCTCAACACATCAAATACACACTCTTAGGTGAACTTCTCACAAAAGTAGAAAAGAATCCTCATGCCGCCATCTTTGTTTTAAATTTTTATCTTCAAATCCCCTGCTTCTTTCGCACATTTCTCTTGCGCATGATGGAAGAGTTATCTGTCCCTGCATGAGGAAACTAGTACGAGCCTCCTTAAGTTTATTTAAAATAATCAAAACAGACACCTTCTTAAGCTCCTTGTTCTCCTTCTCTAATTTATCACAGTAGACTTATTGTAAAAATAAAAAAGTATAACCTGATAAATTAATCTGTACATGGTTTACAAAAAGTCATGTTTTAAAGTGCATATGACACAAAACTTTTTTCTCTTGTTTCTTGTAGTTGGATATCTATAGAAAATGTTTTAAAACTTTAAAAGTGCTGGAAAAACGTAAAAAGCAATTTTTTTTGCTTTCAAAATATCCGCAACTTGCCTTCATATTTGTCCCAGAGATTGGGACGTAGTTTATCACCATTGAAGTTAATCATGACATCACATTGTGTACCTTTGCACGAAGCTCTGTTGTCACTAAGAGAATTTTGTAGTACTTCAGAGTAGATAGATAGTGCATTGAAAGGCAAAGATGTCCAGTGATTCTAATGATTCCTTTGAGTTCGACTCTTCTGAAAGTCCCATTGACTTCGAAGAATCTGAGTACACAATGTGATGTCATGTGCGATTTTGGCTGCGTGATGACCGGGACAAATTTGAAGGCAAATTGCACGTATTTTGAAAGCAAAAACAGTGCTTTTTAGATTTTCCCAGCACTTTTAAGGCTTCGAAACGTTTTCTATAGATATTCAACTACACAAAACAAGAGAAAAAAATTTTGTGTCATATGCATTTAATTTAATATCTGTATCATATTATTGACAAAAACTTTCCTGAGCCATAATGGACCATGTTCAAAAAGAGACATGTTTGACAAATTGAGTGTGAGCAATAAAATCATTGGACAACAAACCTCTTTTGCCTTCCTCATTTCCTCACTTTTTGAGTTTATTGTTGTTTGCTGGCCCTGAAGGAAAAAGATACACATGACAATTATAACTTCAAGGAAATACTTGATCCATACTAGATTTAAAACCAAAAAAAAGGTTACTCAAATACTTATTTAGCTCCAATACATGGTCAAAATTCCAACTTTGACCCTGCTGAAAAAAGCATCAACATACACTGATGTGTCGAAGGGTTTTACCATGATATCGAGCAATACTAAGAAAGTCATATTGATAGAGATTTTGGAACTGTTTAGTATTTTATCCAAACACCCAAAATTTGTACTCACCTCAAATTCCACAGGAAAGTTATGGTTATGATCAGTGTTTTCTGCTGGTTTTCCACTTTCTTGCTGCTTTGCAATTACCCATTCACCTTGACACACGACACGAACAGCAGGGTGGTTTGGGGGATCCATGGAATGAGGTATTGGGTTCTTCATTGAGCTTGCTCCTCCAGGGGGAACTGGTCTTGGATCCTCTTTGAACATTCCCTCAGTTGGCAGGCTTCCAGAAATGTTAGGCCTACTTGATGCATGCTCACTTTCCCTTAATCTAGTTTCTGCATGTACTTCTCCCACAGTCAATTGTTGAAAAAAATTTTCAGTCAACTCTGCCAACTGGTCACTGCCCGCATCAACACTGTTACTTGGTTGTAGAGACCAATTGGGGTCAGTTTTGGTAGAAGTTTCATGGCTCTGCTCATTTGTGGAATTCTCCTCAACTTGTTTTCCTGAAGAAGCTAAGAAACAATATGGTTATACTGACAATTAGATCATAATCATAACAGTAAGTCTTTTCAACACCTTTCATTCAGTGTCTTTAAAGGTACTAGCAGTTCAGTAGACTATGCAATTTTATAACCATTCTGATTTATTCACATAAATTACCTTCTTTATTATATTTTTTTAAGATACATTCTAAAATATTGTCAAAAATTCATCACATTCATCTCCCCTTCCTCTTAATTTCTAAAACCTTCTTTGAACTCATCAAGATGAGATGCATTTTGATTATTTTGAAACTTAAAATGCAGGGGGATTATCCGATATTAGTAAGGTATGTCAATGAAAACCTTTTTGAATGAACTGGGTGATTTCAAGGCATCACTTCAGGAAACGTTGTCCCTACAAGTCTGAAAATTCTAAGTCCTATCATCAATGCAGATGGAAGGATGTATTTTTAATTTGCAACTTGAGAGTTTTCAACTGTTGCTTAACATTTATCTCCCCTTAGTGAATTTCTATGAATCAAACTTAGATAAGGCCTACAGCATAGACATTGACATTCTAACCTACTTTATTTTTCACCACTAAATTTTCTCCAATTCTTATTGGTTTAAATTGATCACATGACGCGATAGTGTTCATCTGTGGAGAAACACTATCAGCCCATAGTGCCCGTCCGCGGAAAATACCTGGATGGATAGTGTCCGTTCAGAGAAAATACCCACATAGATAGTGCCTGTCCCTGGAAAATACCTGGATGGATAGTACTCATCTGTGAAAAATTTTGAATGGTTTGACGGCCGCGAAGTTAGGCAGATCGGAAAAACAGTGACTTTTCAATTCTGACAGGTATAATGTATTATTTGGCCAATGTACGGTCGTGAATTATTGACATTTGTGACAGGCTGTACGCATGAAAAAAATACAAAATATTTGATTGATCTGCATTTAGTAGGTTTTGACTGTTTTTCAACTGGGGTGCGGAAGAAAATTAAGTGGTGAACAATAAAGACAATAGAGTGTTTATGTCTCGATCGGAACAATTATTGGTCTGATAGTTGCCTCTTGGAAATTTGATGTGCTTAAAACTAGCATAGTTTCCCTCGAAGCTTTGCTTCTCAGGCAAATATTTGTTTTAAGAACATCAAATTTCCGTGGGGCAACTATTTAAACAATAGAGTGTTTCTGTCGAGGAACTATCGGCTGATAGTTGCCCCACGGAAATTTGATATTCTTAAAACAAATATGCTAGTTTTAAGAACATCAAATTTCCAAGGGGCAACTCTCAGACTGATAGTTCCAAGACATAAACACTCTATTGTTTTTATTGTTTATCACTAAATTTTCTTCAACGCATACAGCTTGTCACAAATGTCAATAATTCGCAACTGTACATTGGCTAAATAATATGTTATACCTGTCAGAATTGTAAAGTCACTGTTTTTCTGATCTGCCTAACTTCGCGGCTGTCAAACTATTCAAAACTTTTCATGGATGAGTACTATTAATCCAGGTATTTTCCACGGACGGGCACTATCAATCCGGGTATTTTCC